CTCAGTTGCCGGCTGAGATTAAACCACGACACGGGGCCAACTCAGTAACATACGATCAGCTAGGAGCGGCCTCTGCTATTAGTGGTTTGTAGGCAGTATTCTGAATCCTCTCATACAGTTTGGCTTTTTTAGAGCTTCCCTTGTTCTCTCTCCAGGTACGTCTGGAGCCTGGAGGTAAGTATTACAATGCTCATATCCAGGAAGTCGGACAGGATGGCAACACGTTGACTGTATTCGTTGAGGAGCTGGCAGAAAAGTAAGCAGTCTGGTGATGACTTCATGTTTGAACTCTCTGGTTGAGTTTGTATATTCACAGATGCTTAAAATGGGATTGTTAAGATACTTGGGAAAAAAAAGAGAACCTAGGCTTTTAAACACAAAGTGAGGCTTTGCTTCCTTGTTGGCTATCACTCTTCAAATAGAATGTTGCAGGAAATTTTTTCTCTTTTTCATTATTGTAATGCTTTCTGTGAAATCTTGCTGCTCTTTCTTCTCTGGAATGTGAAAGTGATCTTTGCAGTTTGGGCTTAATTCACGGATAGCAAATTACCCTCTGCTGTTGGTTTCTCTGGAGTTTTTCCATGTTGTATCCAAACAACTAAATAACTGGCACTTCTGGTGAGTCTAGGCACTTTCTCCATCTTGCTGTTCGAAGCATTCACCCTTCTCCAAACCTAGAATTCAGCTTGATGACATATTGCAAAAATTGTGTTGTCAAATGCTTTCAGGTGTACCTCTGAAGGCATACGAATGCGGGGAAGAAAGACTTGGCCCAGGAAGTCAATAGTGTTGAGACTAAATCCTAGCTTGCCTTTTTAAATAAACAAGTAACAGTAACGTGTGCTTGGTGTCGGAGAAACAGATTATTTTCTTCATTTCCACAAGCTCCCTACCTCTTAAGTTTGTGGGGTTTTTGATTTTTTTTTTCCTGTCTTAGTGTTGCTTCAGCTTACGTTGTTGTGCAGTTATGCACAGTGTATCCTTGTGGCACTGCTAACATCAGTGTTCTTCGTGTAGGCATACAGTTCCTTTGGCAAACTTAAAACCAGTGACACAAGTGGCGCCTGTCCTTGCTTGGAATATGGTTCCCAGCCGAAAAGGAGGAGCCTATCAGAAAATAACAGGTGGATACTTCTCAGGAATAGGTTTGTACAAGGTTTCCACGAGCATTCCTTCCCTTGGGGAAGAGGGGGAGACACTCATGACAGTTTTAACAGTATCAGTCTTTGGATACTGGATGTGACTTAATTCAGCCTGTGATATAAAACTTAGTCACTGCAGGGGTTTGCTGTAAAGTGATCCTTCAAGACAGAGGGATGAACTTGCCTTTGTAAAAGGGCAAATCAATTGAAAATACATAGCAAAGTTGGTATTGCTCAAAGTTACCAAGAAGAAATTTGGTGCTTGAGAACCATGTAGAAAGACTGGGTCTGTGAACCAAAAAGCTTGTCTGATTTGGCCTTATCAGAGATGCATGGACAGACTAGGGCTTCCCCAGCCAGTTAAATATGGATTGTATTTGTTTAATTTGGAGAATTTTTTTTTATAAATACATGCAGCCTTCATAAAGAGATTTTAACACTGAGAGTACTGGTTTGATCAGCTGAAGTTGGGAAGGTATTCATTCACATGTGAGACGCTTGTATTCTGCTCATAATTTAGAATGCCCACTTGAGTCTTCAAAATAAGGGTATGAAATTTGCGTACTTAAAATGCACTTTTTCTGGGATAGGCCATTGGCTCTTTCTTTTCCGTGTGTCCAAACATTAACTCTTCTCAAATGATAAAGAGAACATAGCTCTGGAGTCAGCTGTTTAAGGTGTAAATCTATCTTTTCTGTCCTCAACTGAAACTGCAGAAATGGATATGAAAACACGGAAGAGAATGCTTAAGAAAGTTCGTGGAAAGGAAGTCTTTATGACTGTGGCTTATAGCAGGGGGCAGCCAGTTCTTCCACCCCGGCTACAGCACAGTGTTCCTTCGGGGCACTCTCCTCCAGTTCACTGCTCACAGGGTGGTGGAAACATGGCACCTTATGAACCCTATCATCCTCAGAATCCTCCTCAGAGACATAACCGTGGATTTGGGATGCCAAGGTATGAAGCCTTGAAAACCTGTCCGAGATCACCACTCGTTTTCTATTTGTTCTTGCTGCAGACTAGTTAGGAGAGAGTTTGTGCTATTTAAAACTACAAATGAGTTCCATCTGAGAGGCACTTCCTGGTAATTGCACCTTTTACCCTTTAAACTTAGGGGATCTGCCCGATTTATAAACAGGCACAACATGGTTGGCCCTCAAATAGCATTCTACCCCAGTCCAGGAAAGAGATGCTATCAGAGCTATGACAATTTCTCCTGCAGGTCCTGGTAAGTGAATATAAACCTCTTTACAAAACATTGCTTTAAAAGAGTCGGGGAGGATGGTGGTATGTGGAGGGCTGAGTTGGCTGTTAATGGCACGGTATGAAACAATGGGTTTATTGTGCTTCTCCAAAAAGAATGGAGTTAAAATCGAGCAACGAAACCAAGGTGAAACTGCAGACAGTGGTGATTCTTAACCTCCTTTCTTGTTTTTAAAGCTCATCCAGCCGTAGCCGCCGTCAGATGCAGTGTGTGAATAAGGAATGTCAGTATGGGTTCGTACCAGAGAATGGAGAGGAGCCTCAGGGACCAGAAGAAACTATAACTTTCTATGAAATTGAAGGAGAGGATGACACTGCTTTTCCTACTTTACCAGTAAGTTATGAACAAGGGGTATGTTAAAACCTCTCAAAGAGGAAGGGGGGAAGCTGTACAAATGCACAGCACTTCTTTACCTAAATATACAGCATCTTTTTTTCTTTCCCTTGGAATAAGTTTTTAGCCTTCCCTTCTCAAAAACACATTCACTGCTGAAATGAGTCTAGATCCTGTAAAACCTGCTTTAAAACCTCAGCTTTTCTAAATGTTCCCCTTCTTTCTCCCTCCCCTCACTGGCAGCACTTGTTTTCTCTTTAGTGTATTTTCATAAAAGTAGGGTCACATTTCTCCTTTCGATTGCAGTTTGAAAACAAAACAAAAAAAGTCCCTTCCTACTGTGGATGTCTGTCTAGCTCTAAATATTGTGGAAGAAAGCTTTTTACTTGTTTGCCGCACTGTAATTTGTCGTTTGTGGAACTAGATTCAGGAACTGTATAGTGATAGCCTGGATTGTTCCTATGAATTTATAGTTGTGATGTTTGGGGCCTAGCATGTTGTTCCTAAAACAGTTTCTTCTGCTGCAGAAACAGGAGAAAATTCCAAATCTAGACTTCTCTTAAAACAGTCTTTCTGTCGGGTTGTAGAGAAAGTGGCACAGTGTATTCTTAAAACTTAAAAGAAGAAGATTTTATTTTAATTTGTAGTCTAAGCCTAGTACAAAGCTGGATATGCTACAAAAACTCAATTGATATTTTGGTATCTGAATAGGAAAGCAGATCTTTTTTAAAAAAAAAAAACAAAACCTGGTAGGTTTGAATTTCTCTTTGCTGTGTTGAAGCAGTAAACTTAACAAATGTTAGACTTGTATTTAAATGGGGGGGGGGAGTCTGCTCAGGGCTGTTTCAGCAGCAGCCATTTTTCAGTTTGTCCTCATGTGCCAGATCTGTAATCTTTGCTCCGATTTTCCTCCAAGAGTGTCAAGGAATAAGGACAGATTATCCTGCAGATTTTTTTTCCGACATGAAATCAATACAGCTTACTAGCTTTTCCTCCCCATTGCTAGACTATATACCTGCAGCTCCTAATGAATAGTTTTTCATGTTCATTCAGTGACTTTGTTACTGTCAATGCCAAAGCCTTTTCTCTGTCTCTTCCTTGTCTTGTTTAGTAAAGGAATATAACATTTCCTGGGGAAAGATGCATCTCGCAGAAAACTCTGCCATCCTACTAGAGGCCTGGTGGGAGAATCTTCTGACTTACCACCTCTGCTTCAACCTTGGAAATCTTACAAGCCTCTCTGAGCACTTTATCGATCTCATAGTCACCATGTCTTCTGAGGAGAATTTTGAGTGTCACCTTAGCCATCACAAAAGAGTGAATCAACTTCTTTTACTCAAGCATCTCAATCCTATATTCCTGCTTCAGAGAACCCTATATTTTAAATTGTGGTGCAGCTAAGGACTGACTTCAGTGCAAAGACAAAGGGCATGTGAAGTGTTAAAGAAGTCCTGTGGGAAGCCTTAATGGGTGCTGCTCTCTGAAACAGGCTTGCATGTGTGGGTCAAGTTAGTGCAGACAGTGGTGTCTATGCCAGCAGCCACCCGTGGGTTTCACTAATTGTGACTAAAGATAACCTTTTTCCGTGATAACTAAAGTATTTGGATGAACTGATCTGCTGGTGGTGTGGTGGGAATGCTCCAGGATGAGGAACACAGGAGTGTGTTGCGGGTAGCAGTCCTGGCTGTTGTCTGGGGTCTGCTCCCTCATTTTCAGCTTTGTTTGAGCTTGAGATAAAGCTGGCTAAGTTCTGGGAGGGAGCAACTTGACTGTATTGCATAGGACAGTGGCAGGTCTTCAAAAATAAATTACCTTAAGTATGCTAGGCAGAACAAAAGGTAAGGGAAAGAAATGTGTCCGCAACTGTTTTGCTGCAATCAAGGTGCGTAGGAACAGACACACAAATGGTAATTCTAGTAAGAGCTGGTTGCAGCAAGCTTGGTCTGCCAGCCTGTTTCTACTGTGTGTGTGTGTGTAGAGCATGGAAAGACTTTAAACTGTTTCTAAATGCATGCTTCTGACTTTGCTTTTTAGAGCCAGGGTAGCCCTGCTCCCATTGTCCATGGTCCAGCAGGATTTTGGGTAGCAAGGAGAGGCCCAAACTCTGTTCCACCTAACAAGCAGGCCCTGAATTCCTCAGAGGAGGAAGAAGAAACAAGTGAAAATGGTGAGTTCTTACAGGATTAGTGGGTGAAGAGAAAAGACAGCTTTAGAAGATCTTCAGCGTGCTTTTGATTGTCAAAGTAGGTTCCTTACATCTCCTAAATATCTGTTTATTGTGAGCTTTGAATGTGCGTGTGAGCATGTTGTTTTTCTTCGTTGTCTGATAGAAATGTGTCACTTCTGTTTAAGCTTGCTACACCATCACCCTTGTGATAGCGTAGGTCTGTAGCAAGCCAAGTTGCCGCTTAAAAATGCGTGGTGTAAATTTGCTAATGGCAACCTTGATACTTGGTGGAATAACAAAATGAGCATGTCTTGGGTGTTTTTCTACCTTTTTCTGCACAAAACAAGATGATACTGAAAGCAGTTCATTAATGGATGCACTGAAATGTTATTGTGGTAACTTCAGCTTTAAACTTTGCCTTCCCCCCCCCCCAAATCAAAGCTTCCTGTTCTCTCCCTTGTAGGGAAATTTCATGAAGAATATATCTATGCACCTCCAGGTAAGTAAAACTTTAGTCTTTACTGATAGAACACTCAGTGAATGTAATGCGCTCATTATGACCTTTTTGTAAGTTTCTGAAGGGTTCGATTTAATGCTACTTTTTTTCAATTAATTTTGCCTATGCCCTCCAGATCCCGACTGTGAAACTGCAACAGTATTTAGTTCAGCAGAACCTACAGCAAACTTGGTAAGCTTTAGTCACTGTCTGCTGAGATGAGGAATCCTTGAAATGTGTGGCATTCTTCACAGAAACTGTCCCTAGATGAAGGCTTAACATTGTAGGTCAGAGACTTCTTTTGGAAGAAAGGAATGATGGTTTCATTTATATATTCACCCCCCCTTTTCCTCCCTAAATGGCGAGGTTTTTATCTGAGTCTGCAAGTAGAGTCTGAATTGTACTAGATACATCAATGACTTTCCACCTTCCCCTCTGCAAAGAGAAAGCATGTATTTGAGTGCGGTTTGCTTTTCTTCTTTTTGTGCTCCAGATGGCACTTGCTTTTATCATGCTACCCTTCAAGTCCTATTCCAGTTAGTCTTATTCCTCCACTGTGGGATTGGAGAGTTCTTACCTCTAATAGAACTGCCTTTGGAATTTTTTTTTATAATCTGAAACTAAATCTTTAGTCACCTACTGGTCTACAGTGGGTGTGAAAGCCAGTCCTGTGCATGTCAGAATAAAACTGCTTTTACTGGAGTTACAAAAGATCCTCTGTGTGTGTGTGTGTAGTCCGTAAAAAAAATTGAGGGGTGTGGTGTGTGTGCCTTGTGACTTCTTTGCCTCTTAAATGGACCATGCTTTGCTTTGGAATCCCTTCAGGAAGAAGGGCCAGTCTCTGTGTCACCTCAAGATGGAGTGACTTCCTACAGCTATCCCCAGAAGGTAGTATCTAGTACTTTATTGTGGTAGCCCTGTGGAGAGGTGACCACTCTGCTTGGTTAGTGTCAGTTTGTGGGGTCCCTCTACCTGCCCCTTACAGCATCTTGTAGCAAAGAATACAATTCCCTGTAAATATAAGCAAAACAGAAGGGTGAGAAGATACCTTGCAGGTGTCTGCAACTCTAAACTGGTATTTTCAAGAGAACTTGGATAGTTAGCTGCCTTTACAGCTAAGACTTCCAGAATGCATTTATGTGAAGTGAGAATTTTTGAACTATGTGATATTTCCATAGTCTTTGTCAAAGCCAGTTGTAGAGGCAGTCTGCTGAATACTCTGACTCTTTTCCAGGTGATGGTGAACTCTGCAGCAATCTCAACCTCAACAGGTGTTTATGCTGCTCCAGCTACAGGCTTCTCCTCAAATTCTGCTGCCTCCACTCCAGCCAGTGCCACAACAGCAGTTCCCCCACAAACAGCAGTTCAGCCAGTCATAGTATCTCCCCTTTCTATAGGGAGGCCAGGTAGAGTGTACATACTGCGGCTGTGGACTTGGATGTCTTAAGTTTTTGGTTACATCTTCCCCTCCCACTTTTTTTTTCCTACCTATCCAAGACAAGTGTTAAAAGGCTTTTTTTAAAAAAAAAAAAGCATCACTTGCTTTGGCTTAAAATGACTTAATAGTAGTTGTAACTTCACTGCTGACTTCTTGCTTTCCTGTTTTGAAGTGGACAGTTGCCCCTGAATTTGCATGGGAATTGGAGGTCTCTGCTTTGGGTTCCCCCCTTGCCACCTTTAGCCATCAATGCCAAGTGTTTCGCTAGAAAGTTCTTTTCAGAAGGCAGAAGTTCATGGCAGCTCCCTTCTCCCACTATTGCTTACAGTTAATTTTCCTCCTGAGTTGAGATACTGATCCTGAGGCTTTACTATCCTTTCCACAAGAGTCACTGGCTGTGGTGGTTCAGGATCTACCCAAATGCCCGATTCATTTTTGTGGCCCTTAGTTAGCTCCTGTGCTTCGTTATTTCTGTGCAAGGAGACCAAACTTGTGATTTGTCACGTGGTGCACTTACCACCTGAAATGCTGTATCTACTTTGTTCTAGTGAAAAGTCTGTTCAGAAAAAGTGATTTTTCCCTTCTTATAAAGAGGACTTTCATGTCTTCTGTAACTTCTCATTTAACATCAAAAAAACCTTCCACCTTCAATTCTGCTCAACTCTGTCTCCCTTTTCTTCCCCATTTTTCTCCTTGGTTTGTTTTTTTCCACTCTGCATGAGAGTTTAGTCAGCACAGTTCTCAAAGCTGTCTACTTGCTGATGCCATTACAAGTAACCTGCTGGTGTGTTAGAGGTGTGGGCCACCTAATGAATATTTAGCAGTAGTCTGTCCAAAATATTTTTGGCCTGACGTGTCTTGAATCTTCCCCTATTTTTGTGGGCTTATTGTCACGCTTCTGATGACTTAAAGTGATTAGTCTGTTCCCTGTTGTTCTGGGACAGACAGTTATGTAAGGAAAGTCTGGCCTGCCTTCTAGTGTGGAGAAATGATGGAAAGAGACATTTATTCTTAACTGGAATATGAAGCTTGCAGATAGACATACGGTTAAGGCTTGTGAGATTGGAACCTTCCCATCTGGTCTTAAAATTTTTTCTGGACTTCTTTTAAAGTGATTACTAAAGAGAAATTGGTTAAAACTTGTATGTAGGGGCACTGAGACGACAAAGAAGTGCATGCTTAATTGTGTAACTTAGCATCTTGCTCATTTGACGTGCTATTGCCAATTTGACTTGACTTTTGTTTCCTTCTAATTGTAGCAGTTTCTTCGGTGCCATTCCCAATTTATTCAGCTCCTCTTCCTCCAGTCAGTGAGGTGGGCGAAGCTGGTGCCGTTCTTCCACCTTACTCTTGTGATCCCAGTGGCAGTGATCTGCCTCGAGGTAATGATGGTATTTTGTGCTTTTACTACTGCTGCTCTTTGGCACACTTCTGACTTGTGTTCTCCATGGAAACTTAACAGAATACCTATAGTGAGAAGAAATGGCTCTTTGCAGCTCACAGGGAGTGAGAAATAATATTATGGATGCTTATGCTAAAAATGTTTTAGTTCCCAGTTCTGAATAGCAAGTTCACATCTGACTCAAATATGTGATTACTGCAGCTTTAGACAGCATCCTAAAGAAATGAATACCAAGGGAGAGGGTGCTTGGCCTGTATCGTACTGGTTCTCAGTGGAGTAATCATTTTTCTGATAACAGATTAAAAAAAAATAAAATCTGTGTATCTATACAGTCATGCTGTTGCACAGTTCAGTGGTATATTGTGGTGTTTTCCTGTGTGGCTCCAAGAGGTCATTCTGGGGTATCATAAGCCAGGGATAAAGTGTAGGGTCATCTCGTTCCTTGGGTGCATAGCCTTTTCGTATACTGTCATCAGTTGTGACAGTGTTTAAGGTACATCTCTGCTATTAAGCAATGAGCGTGCAAAGGCCAACATAGTACCTACCAGCAGAGCAGCTCAGACACAGCTTTCAGCTTTATCAGCTGAACGTGGACTTCATTTTGGAAGTGGTAATCTTTAGTCAGCTTGCTCTTACAATTTAAGAATATCGGCATACCATGCAAGGTTGCATCAGACAGCCAAGCTTGGCAAGTAGTGCAACAGGCATATACCTATTGGATGTTTTTTTGTTAGTAATTTATCCCCTCATTCTGTCATGCTTATGGCTCGCAAGGCATAAATAAAGCCTGTAATTCACAGAGCTTCATTTAATAACCCAAAGATCAAGCTGCCCCCTGTCCTTAACGCAAGCTAAGAGCCTCTCAGCTACAGGAATAACAGTACTGCTTGCTGTTATGCCATGTAACTTGTTTTTCTCGAGGTGGGGAATGCTGTGAGGCCCAAGCATGCCGCTGTTGCATCACTGCACACATCTGAAGAGGCAGATAAAACTCTTCTGTGATGCAGTGTCTTGTCTTTGCTGATAAGGATTGTTGGTTGTGTGTAGTTTTGGACAGCTGTAGAAAATGCTCAACCCTATGCACGTCCCCTTGCTCAGTCTTGTGACAGTACATTGGCTTAAACTGCACTAAGGGTTAAAAACTTACAAGGGCTGTAACTGACTGTAACCGTCCTTGTAACTGACTGTATTTCAGGTGTATGGCAGTTGTAGCTTTTATTGTATCAGAATGTAAAGCTTTTGGCTTTTACTCCAAAATCTATTACTTGAAGATGGAGCATAAAATATTTTAGTAATGCAAATTGTTTTCATGCTTGATTCAACTTTAGATTGCCATGTAAAGCAGCTCTGTTGTCCCTGTGTGGGACTTTCCTCAATGTACTAATCCTAGAGGGCTAATTTCAGATAAGATAAAGGCCTACTCTTGATAGCTGCAGTTCCAGTAGTTACCTCTGGTAGGTTGCCGAACAACTGTGGGCTGAAATGCTGTGGATTCTTTCAGTTGCATTTACCATGTAACATGCTTGTCTTGTCAGAAGTTGATGTGGAAAAAGGCAGGTTCCAAAACACTATGGTATGGCTGCTCAAAGGCCTGCTGCTTTCACAGGTACTGCTAACGTGCTCTGCAGTAGCTCTGCTCTCTTGCAGGTGCTCCAATTCCTGGTTTTGTTAATCTTGAATATTCTGTTTTCCACTTTCCTGCTGCAGCAGTATCACTCTAGATGATACTATGCATACATCAGAGTTAATGGTTTTCAGCTTTAGTTGAATGCCCTTAACTGAGGCTTTCAGCACTTGGGAGAATTGGGTGTTAAGTGTACTGACAAGAATCTGGAGTGGATGTGGATTAATAACCTCTTCAGACCCTGCCTGTAGCTCTTCAGCTGAGTCACTCCACGTAATGTTGGCCATGTCATTCTTGCCATAGACTCTAGAAATTTTTTTTTAAGTATTTGAAGGTTGGTAGTTAATAAGGAATTGCATGTAGTATAGTCTATATGGCCTTTAAGTTAAGAAATCCAGAAGCTTTGGAGTAGTGCATGGTAAAGTATGTGGGTGTACTTGACCTAGAGTTCTGGGCACTTTGCTAAAGATACTTGCAGGCCTGGTATAGATTGGGAGTGTGACTTGTCAACGGACTGAAGTCCTGGGCTTGGGAAGAAAACCTGCCATGTGCCTTAGTATTACTTGGTACATCTGCATTTGTTCAGATTTTCAGAGTCTCTTGGAATTTTTTTAACGGAGCTTGGGGCTTGTGAAACATGTTTATTAACATGGTGACCTTAGGTGTCCTACCCTTGCTTGCTCCTTGGTGTTTGAGGGAGCTGTTGATAAAAGACTGCTTGGTATTACTGTGTTCCAGAGACTGCGGTAGTGGTCAGGATTGACCAGAGCTTCCCATCAGCACAGTAAAAATTTTACCGTGATTTTTGTCCCGATGCATTGTAAGATGAGATTTTTATCCGTAGTTAACATGGTCTTTGTATTTTCATGTCAGGGTGGTTAATTTTTTTCAGCTTAGCTATTGCTTCATAAGGTAGTCATGTTTTACTGAAGATTGCCTTGATTTCTAGACATCTAAAAGAAGAATATAAACAAAAACTGGTCTCCTACTGTACTGGCTTCTGTTCCAGCATTCCACAGATGTCAGTATTTCCAGTATTGGTTTGTCACTTCAGTCTTCCAGCTCTTCCTTTGTACTCTTATCACTGCTATGAAGCAGCTGTTTCATTCAGCTCTTATGCTTGATTTGCATAAACAATTGAAGAACAAAATCAGATTTTGAAAAAAATCTGGTTCCAAATGTAGATGCAGTTTCAGCTAGATACTAAAAAGTTGGCATTTACGTGAGCCTCTGGGTTATTTTTAATATTTTACTGACAGTGGTCAATGTCACAGCCAAATCACCAGCACTTTTCAGGAGTAAGCTTACAGCTGTTAGATGTAAAGAAGGATCTGTGTGCACTTCCTAAAATAGCTGTGTGGATTGTTGCCCTGATCAAATACGCTGAACAGTAAAAGAGTTGAGAATTGGCAACAGCAACAAAGGAACAAATCCTCGTGCATTTCAAGACTGGGGTTTGCATTTCTGACGCTGTGCCGATCTGCAGCAAAATACGACACACGGTACCGTAGAAGAGCAGGGCTGGGACAGTGTGCGTGTGTGGTAATGGGTGGACAGGGAGGCAATGTGGAGCCAAGGCCCTGGTCTAGGGGGAAGTGGGTAGGTGGTAAGAAGATGGTATATATGGAACTCTGGAGGCGTTGCTAAGTTGAAGTCCTTAGTGGCTCCCTCCTTTTGAGTTGTCTCCCTGCTTTCCCTTTCAGCTCCCAGCAGTACTGAAGCAAAGTCTCTGTGTGTGCATGCATTCCACATGTCTGTGGAATAGGTGACTTGCACTTCCTGAGCCTTTAAAACAGATCTTATTTGAATTTGAGAAATCAACAATTTTTCTCATGCCCAGTTCCAGAACTGCATCATAGGATTAAATTGTGCACACTCTTTTTTCCTTTCAATGATCAACTTCAAAGGTTTAAAACTGCTTCACTGGTTTTGGACAGTTGGAAATGCGTTTGCAAGTTCAAAACCCTGTTGTTCTTGGAGGGTGGTTTCAAAGTTCCTCCACACATCTCAGATTGCTTCTCAGTGTATCAGGTATTTGCCTGGGGGCAAATTATTCAGGACATGGAAGACAGAAGCAAAAAGACTACTTGCAAGAAAGCAGGGAACTGAGTAGCCTTGTGAGGAAGGGGAAGGAAGGAACATATTCCTTATTCCTCTCCCCCCACCCCCTCCATTTTCTGACTTGATATAACAATTGGGAGGACCCCCAAAACTAGGTCAGAAGGTCTTAGGATTGCTGCATATGTTGTCCCCATTGACATGTCTCTGTGGTCATGGCTCAACAAAGCTCTGAAGATGGAGATAGTGGCAGAGCCAGACTTAACACTGGGCAGCAGCAGTGTGAAGCTGTTACAGGAGTCTGTATGGAGGCGGCCCGTTGTCTCGCATGCCAGCCCAGTGTGGGTATTTGCAATATGTACGCAGAGTGTGTATATAATGTGTGTACGATGGGGGTGAATTGTCACTGGTGTATGAGAAGGCTGCTCCTGCCTGTCTGTGTGCTTCCAAACCCTGTCTCGTTTCTGTAGTGAGGAAGGGAGGGAGTGCTTTTAGTGGTCAGCTTAATTCAGGGGCTCATAATCAAACTCTTAGTTGATAAAATACTTTTTCCTCTAAAAACCCAGCCTTAATAGGAAGCCAGAATTGCTTAAGTCCTAGTTGCTTAGACAGTGGAGACTTGTAACAACATTGACAATTACCACTTGAGTAATCAAGATGAATAAACCAAAATTAAAGCTAATGTAATTGTTGAAGTTAGATAATAAGTTGGTCAGACAAACGCTCTACTATTGCACAAACACCTAACTGGATTAACTTAAAAAGATAAACTAGTTTTAACAACGATTTGTATTCAAGATATATTCTTTACCCTTGAAACTTTAAAGAAGAAGTAGTGCTAAAATACTTATATTCATTAAGTAAGAGTAACTTAAAATAAAATGCTCTTAATGTGTGTAAATTTCTCTTGCTTCTCGGTTTATACTATTCTACTCTTCAATATCATATCCTTTAATTTCAGATGCAAAGGTCTTGAGGTATTACTTTAATCTGGGATTGCAAGTAAGTGCTTTTAAAATGAGTATAGTAAATTGCCTGTAAAAAACCTGCTGTTTCCCTTGACAACTGTACTCATGTATTTAAGACTTCCAGGCGTGCTAAATGTGCATCCTGTGCACTTGACTATTAATATGTATGGGCTTGTGTGGTGGAGATGAAAGCATAGCTCGGGAAGTGAAGTTCTAACTCAAAATGTGAAGCACAGTAGTATGTATGTTTAGTTGTTTTGTTTTGGGTTGGGGGGGGGGGGGTTTGTTTTTGTGGAGGATGGTGGATAAATATTCTTCTTTCCGTGAAGATAAGGGGAGGAACCAGAGCCATTCTTAAGAGAATCTGTGTACTTAGACAAGATGTCAAAGACCACTTAGAGATGTGTGGTTTGAGTCTTCTAGGACTTGCACAGCTGTGTTCAGACTGGTTAGCACCATTTCTCTGTGTTCTGGGAACTCTTGCTCTGCTGAAGAGTTGTCTCTGCACCAGCAGTCATGGGCAGGTCAGTGGTGCTGCTCAGGGAAGTAAAAGAAGTAATGTCAGCTCCTTCAACTGAAGAAATAGGAAAAACCTCTTTGAACGTGACCAAGTCGAAGGTGGGAATCTTCTTTCTCTGTAAAGATTTCAGACACAACAGCAATGTGGAACTGAGGTGGCTATTGCAGCGGGTATTGCAGTGTCTTTTCTGGTAGGCTGTATTGGGTTTTTTGGTGTGTGTAGTATCTTAAGGGGCTAGGAAGGAAAAAATGCACTTCTTCCTAACTTTAGATCTGAAACTAGTAGTGATTTGGAGGAGGGATGGAGAGTATGTGGTTGTATGCATGACCTTGTATTTTTTTCCTTTTCTCCAAGTATTATCATCAGAGCTATTGGCCTTCCATGGTGTACGTACAGCCAGTGCCGCCACCATCACCTGTGGAAGTTTATCCAGCATATGCTGAGCCAGCTCCTGTCCTAGATCAGTCAGTACCTCAGCTCTACACTGATGCTGGGCGAACTGAAGTCCACCAGGTTCCCTTGGAAGCACCTGCGAATGGTTAGTATTTGAGTATAAGACCATATACACAACTGATGGGAAGTGAGGGAAGAGGTTTTCAGAGCATGACTGCTGCATAGCAAAGCTGCAGGCAAGCGGCTCCTATCCCGAGGAAGCGCGAGGTTGGGAGGACATAGAGTAAGCCTCGTAAGGGGTTATTGCAAGGTCCTCTGCCATCTGTGGTACTACTTAAAGTATGTCAGTCACTGGTGTAGCCACCAATGTGTCAAGGGCTTTCTAAAGCCATAAAAGGGAAGAGGTAATCCTTTCTAGGCCCGTACTAGGCACGCTAACTTGAACTTGGGAGAACTGTGAAGGAATCTCCTTGCTTACTGATAAGCAAATAGTCACGGTTGCAAAACAGAATGCCTGTATTTAAAGGGGAGAGTTGAGTCTTGGCAAGCACTGAGCATCGGTATTTCAACTCCATGGGAAATTTTGAAAGGAGGATGTTACAAACCTTGGTTTTGGGCTCAGCATGCTGAGCTGTTACCTCTTGAGTAGCCCTTATTGCTAGCTGCGTCTCTTACTGTGCATAGAATTTACAGCAAAACTTAGTTTCACCTAGCAGCTTTGTAACAAGCTTGTAGATACACGGGGCAGTAAATAGGAGGATTGTATTAAATGAGGAAAAAGATGTCAAAAAGGTCAGATGCCTAGCTCATTAAAATCTATGGAATATGGCAAACGGTCAGTGCTGGAAAGGAGCCGCGTGGTAACAAAACTGTTGCTCGGAGGCATACAGGCTTATTGCTCCGATAATGCTTCAGCCTGTTCAGCTGGGGTGGTTCTTCTGCATAGGCTAGTGTCGTATGGTCAGAGATCAGATGGGGGACGAATATATCTGCTCTCTACCTGAGTCCCTCTTGAAAAACCTGCCACTCCAATGCAGAATGCTGCTAAGCAACTCTTCAACAGGGTTTAGTGAGAAGATGAGCAAGTTGTCCTTTAGCCTAACTTAGGACCCAAAATGATTTTGAGCTCTCCGTTAGGAGGGACATACGTGGGCATAAAATTGTCATCTAAATGGATTTTTCCCTTTTGGCCACCAAAATAATGCTGCGTTCGTGGTAATGAAAGTCTGCATAAAAAGGCCATAAATATGGTAAGTGCGTGTATCTTGTTCTGTTTTTTAAGGTAACTTTCAAAATGCAGAGCCTCCGCCCCTGTCCTATGGGCCAGTATATTACCCAGTCGTATCGGACCCCTTCAGCCAGCAATCTCTTCCTGGGTTTGATTCCTTAGTACCTGCCTATCGCTATATTAGTACCTGGCATCCAGTAAATCCACCGTATGGAAATTCTCCACAAATTGCTAATGCTGTAAGTTCTGGACCGCTGCACCAAGTCAGCTATATTGCCTCACCTAACCCTGCACCTCATGATGTGCCTCAGGGAATGTAAATCTGGGAGCTATAAGCTCGCTTCTTGCCCTTGGTTTCTCTTGTTTCTTGTTTGTCAACTATGTGTTAATATTGTTTCGTAAACATTATCCTGTCTTAGTGGGCTGGGTCAGTTGCTTAAACTGCCTTCGAATTCCATGTTTCTCTTTAGGTTTATGCTAGTGATAGCTGACTTGACAAGGTGTTGTTTTAGTCGATTAGGTAGGAAAGCATAGGTAAAGACTGTACACAAACTACAGCGCAGGGAACCCAAAGCTTGAATTTGACTATGTAAACTACACGTAAAAACACATGCTATCGCTAAAGGAATGTTGCATCCTGTACCTCTGTGAGGGGTTACACTGGAACACTTAGACACCCAATTCTCGTTTAAGCGCTGAAATAGGCTGCCGTTAACAACTACAGATAAAAATTGAGCACAGGGTCATTAGAGGATGAAAACGTTTGAAATAGGTTGGCTTTCTCAGATTTCGCAAAACAAAACTTCTTTGCCACTAGTGGTCACATATTTGTGATAGCTGTATTTCTTCTGTCTAATTTCATTCTGCGTAGGTTTCATGACTCTTGAAAGTGTAAGAATACTGTTGTCATCTGTTGTGTATTGCTGTATGTTTGTAAGATTTGTTTTGTGAAAGCTGTTGCACAAATGGTGGTAGTCTTGGTGTTTAATTTGCACGGATAGCACAAAATAAAAGCATTGAACACATGAAAACGAGTGGTCATTTATCGCTGGCAGGTTACGATCCTGACAATTAGTCATCCAGCAGCCTGGACCAAAGAAACGTAGTTGCCTTGTGCGGGATAAGGCTGCTCCAGCCTTCTGTGAGAAAGTAGCAAAAGCTTTCAGCATGAGGATGCAGCGCAGTGGAAGGCTCTAGCTGTCTCTTTGTTGATAAGCGTAGGAAGAAAACATTGACTAGTCTGTGCACGTGGACTGCAGTTCTTTCAAATGACTGTCTGCACAGGCTCTGTCCTTGATAGAAACCTGCACTGTACGTGCAAAAATCCGCAAGTGGGGGCGAGTTGGGCCCTGCCCGCAGCCCTGGGGGCATCGTGCTGGCACCGCCCTGTCCTGGGGTGACAAATGAGGGCACAAGTGTGGGTTATGCTGGCTCGGTGCCGGAGGCCCTGAAAACCAGCAAAGAGGCTTCTTTACCAAATCTTTCTGACTTTCACACGTCTTCAGCATTTGGGTGTCTGAGCTGGATGCTGGAAGCCATGGCTGCCAGATCTTGTAGGGAATTTGAGGCTTCCAAATTCAGCCATGGCCTGCTTTAAGTAAGGAGGTGAAGGCAGTACTTCAGACGGTGGCACAGTTGCCATCTGCCAAAGTTGAAATCAACTCTATGGGCCCGCGCTACTGTTTAGTGATTTGTTTTGTTTTCTTTGTACATAGCGAAGTGGTGGTGAAAAGGGGACTGACTGCAGAACTGGGAGGGGGAAAAAACATATTTCCTTTGGTATCCCTTTTAAGTAACCATGGAAGCAAAAATGTAGTAGGAAAAAGTGGCTCCTTACAGTTTTATCTTAAATTCATGCAGCACTTTTGGTGTTGATCCTATTTCCTTAAAACTCGAGACTTTTTTTTTTTCCCTTCCTTAAGAGGAGATGGTAATATAATCTTCTGTCAGAAGAGTTGCAAGCTCGGCTTTTGGCTTGTCTCCTCAAATCTCTAATTGCTGTACATTTAACTTGGCAATTTAATGATGGCTTTTCAGGATGGAGGAGCCAGGTAAAAAGTCAAAGCATGATGAGAATGACCCCTGAATAGCTAACTTGATTATGAGCTGCTGTGCTGTTTTTAAAAAAACAAAACATGCACCCAAAATGATTTTACAAAGTAATTGGTGGCAGTTAAGACCTTGGCCTCTGTATTTCTGCCTCTGGAGGAGCACTTGACTTGCACAGACGTTTCTCGGAAAAGAAGATACCACAGGATTTTTTCCTCCTTTCTCTGAAAAAGCATTCACTAGACTAACCTCTTAAAGGAACCAGTAAAGCAGGTGACTTATTTTATGAACTTTAAAATGGAGCAGGCTTAAGAAGTACAGTCTCCGCGATGGAGTCATCAAGTGTGTTTCCACCTCAGTCGGGAGTGCCATCTGTCGTATCCCAAACAGTTGCTGTCAAGCACCCGAGTATCTTCCACTTTCAGGCTTTAGCTATGAATAATGCCTCCTTTCTCCTCCTGTCACTGAGACAGCCTTGCTTTTCTCTACACAAACGGTTATCCTAGCTAAGTGTTGGTGTCTTATCTTCTGGTATTAGTTTGTCTCCTGAAGTGACTTTTTTTTTTTAAATTAGAAACACTGACTCATAATTCTGGTACGGAGTCAAGTTTTTTGCATGTTTTTGCTTACCCTTCTAGTAGCTGGATTATTCAGCACTAGCCATGGCTATCGTGGCCATGTGGGCCACTTTGATATACATGAGAATTACATTAATTGATGTGTGTAATCTGTGGCCAGTTAACTTATTTATGGATTTGGTATACAGCGGTACCTCTGTGACTTGATACATGTGTTTTTGCCGGGGCTGTTTAAGCTCAAAATTAACTTTTGGAACTAGCCAGCAGGGGCTGCGGGGAGCAGTTAGCGGCGTGTCCTGGGGCTGGTTGATGAATGCTCTCCGCAGGTCAGGAAGTGCTGCCTTTTTATTAACGGCAAAAGAGCTTGGAGCGGTACCGACCTGTAAGTGAACGCTGGAGTCTTTTCTTCTCAATTCGGCTTGCCGGAGTTGTGTTGCGCTACGGTAGCTCTACAGCACTTACTAAAGCAGCTGCCGAAAAAGTTGCAGCTCTACCTAAAACACAGCTAACCTGCTTCATGCTTCAGCCATTTCCTCATCGAGAGATTACTGGCTCTGGCTGCAGCATCCCTGTACTAACAATATTCCTAGATTTGTCGTTAAGTGTGCCAGTGGCCAATTGCTACAGAACAGTTGCCTTTTCAGAGGCTATTAGATAACACACATCAAAATTACACTGAATTCTGGGGGTTTGCTTGAGATGGTTTTTTTTTGTTGGGGGGAGGGGGGGTGTGGGTGCGTATGTGCGGTCTGTGGGTGCTGAGACATGGGCTCAGGGTCTTTTTTTTTTTTTTCTGGGGAACCCAGTGTCAGCCTGGTGATCATCCAGACTTGTTTACTTTGATTATTGCTCTGTTACAGTCTGGTACTAGACGAATGCTCTGGGTTTTTCGTGCCCAGCAGGATCGCAGGATTGCCGTGGATGGGCGTAGCGGGATATAGCTTGCAGCCATAAGCATATCTTATCTCTAAATAGAAGCACAAAAATCCATGAGTGTTGATTTCTATTGGGAACAAGTATTTTCCTTCAGATTGATTTTTGTTGGTTTTTTTCCTCTCTTTATTGGGCTTCTTGGAAGTATGTTGAATAATAATGAATTTTTAAAGCAAGGATTTGATCCTGAAATGTGTTTCATTTCTCTGTATTTCTTGTGGATAGGTTTTCAGCCTTTAAAAGGGAGATCAGAAGAGAAGAGTCGTGCAGCCAAGTCTGCGCTAGTCATGCTTGCCGCCTCCTTTTCCACACCATGTTTTTATATATGAAAGGCAGGGGCTCAAATTAAATTAACACCTGAAGGCTGTGCAGGAAGGATCCATAAGCTGGCAGCGCAGCAGAATGCTCTCTTTAGATGCGAGCACTTCTGATTTCGTAGCCCTTATAAACAGCCTTGGAGCCAAGCCTCTTCTGAAACCGCAGGATGAAGGAAGCGGTGATCAACCATAGTTCTTGTGCTTTGGGGTGCGAGTTCCTTGTGGTTTTAAGTATATCGGTCTCTTCTAAACTGCTGCAAATCTTTTTGCCCTCAGAAGGAGCAGGCTTCGGTCTGACTGCGTTTGTCTGCAGGTCACCAGACACCAGAGCGCACTTCTGTTCTCTGAGCACCGCTCGCTACGCAGTAAAGCAAAAGCGGGGTATTTTGGCAGAGGTGCTTGGGTCTTGCACCAAAGGACGTGCCAAGCCCGTGCCCTGTTGCAGTCAGGCTGCGAGTGCTGCCCGCCTGGTGCGTGCCCCGCTCCCCCTCCTCTGTCCTGCGCCCTACAGCCCTCCTCCGCAGCCAGCGCCACGCTAGTCCTGCTTCAGTCTGTGTGCGTTGACTGCTCTTCGCTAGAGGCACGAGTCTCTTTCTGAAGTCTTTTGAATTGTAAAATCTCTCTCTTACTGAAGATAATTGTTATAAATGCTGTGGAGAAAAACCACGCTGATTCTGCCTGCCAGCAGCAGCAGCCTGCTGGGCTATTGCTCCTGTGCTCCATTTTCCCCTTGGTCGCGTAAGAACACCAAACCGATTCCTACGGCAAGTTGTTTTTCTAGCTCAGTTGTTTTGTTTTACTGTTAGCGTGTGGTTCTCTCTGCAGTGCTGCTGGATACCTTTCTCTTTTTTCTAAAATCACACCATCAAAGACTGCATTATACGGGGAAGATATTCAACACGTAAATCCAGACCCAGACTTCCAAGTAACTGCTTTTTTCATGAGGAAGGAGGATAAAACCCTTGGACCAGGGCTTTATAGCTTTGAAATAAGATCAGAGTTTAAATTTTGCAGGGCAGGCCTGTATCTAGAAACTCCTACGCGTGATCAAGTCAGCGCTGCTTGCCAGACTTCAGTCAGCTGAGTTGCGGCAAGGATGAAACAGTTCAGCCAGTATCGAGCCGTAGGCCAAGAGCACGTACGCAGGCGGTTACTGCAACTTGGTCATCTCTGCAAGGGTGGCGATCCGCAGTAACAGGAACACGTGCCCGAGGCCCGACGGGCTGTTTTTACGTCTTAGGCTCAGTTTATGGCAATACTTTCCTTCCAGATGCTAAATCTTACCTTCCCTGGAGCAGGTGAACGCTTTGCCACTAGCTTCGGGGTGCTGGGGTTTACCCCAAGATAAGTGTCATTCTGTTCTCATAGCTGTGACGACCGCTTGACTTTGTTGTGTTAGTGGAAAATGGCCTTTTAAGAGAAAGCGACGTATCCTCTAATGAT